ATTCGACATAGACAAGTCGGGTACGCGGCCCGTTACCTTTAGAAAAATTGCAGTACTCCATTCTTTTAAAATGTTGGTAACACAGTAATATAAAATATTGCTTCTTTATAATTTTTTAAGGTTTGCATAGAATGGCTTTCTTATTGGAAGGATCAATAGTTCATAACCAAAGATACTGAAAATGAGCTCCCCTTCCCTCAAGCTCCTTAGTTGGTAATATTGGTAGTCACCAATATATCCTTGTTGTCAGGTATGCACCCCCACTGCAATCTCAAAAGAAAAAGGAACTGGCTACGTTACTTAGTCCTGACTTCTGTGTAACTTACTCCTGACCTCTGCACTTTGCATTACTACTGACCTCGGCACTTTGCATTACTACTGACCCATGCACTCCACGTTACTACTGACCCCTGCACTCCACATTACTGCTGACCCCTGCACTCCACATTACTGCTGACCCCTGCACTCCACGTTACTACTGACCCCTGCACTCCACATTACTGCTGACCCCTGCACTCCACGTTACTACTGACCCCTGCACTTCACATTACTACTGATCCCTTGCACACCACGTTACTACTGACCCCTGCACTTCAAATTACTTCTGACCCTATGCACTTCACGTTACTACTGACCCCATGCACTCCGCGTTACAACTGACCCCATGCACTCCGGGTTACAACTGACCCCATGCACTCCGCGTTACAACTGACCCCATGCACTCCACGTTACAACTGACCCCATGCACTCCGCGTTACAACTGCCCCCATGCACTCCACGTTACAACTGACCCCATGCACTCCGCGTTACAACTGACCCCATGCACTCCACGTTACAACTGACCCCATGCACTCCGCGTTACAACTGACCCCATGCACTCCGCGTTACAACTGACCCCATGCACTCCGCGTTACTACTGACCCCTGCATTTCACATTACTACTGACCCCATGCACTCCGCGTTACTTCTGACCCTTGCACTTCGCACTACTATTGAGCCCATGCACTCTGCATTACTACTGACCCCTGCGTTACTTACTACCAACCCCTAAACAAATACATGCACTGTACCCTGCTGATCTTTGATGTCATTCATGTTGACCAGGTAGATCTCCACCTCTCCAGGGTTGCCTACCCCTGCTCTGTGTGATTCAAACTTCACCACAGTGTGATGACTCCTAATAATATTAATCAGGATTTTTGCTAACTACAAAAACCTTCAATCAGAAGCTACAGCATATGTCACAGTACTCAGCAGAAAGGTGAGTTCCAAATTATGTTTTCTGAAATGTGTTTGCAGTGTATTTGTCACTGTGCTCTCTGCATGAGCGGTTCAGTTGAGTCTAAAAGCTGTAGCTAGCTAAACAAACCCATACACATCCGTTCATGATCTCCTCTCTATTCTATTTCAACTACCCCCCCCC